GTCTTGCTTTTTTTTTTTTTTTTTTTTTTTTTTTAATGCTACATGTCAAGCTTCAATCGGGTTAAGTTTCAATGGCAAAAAGCGATTGTTGACGTCACAATCATATTATCGGTAATATATATATAATGTATATATCAGAGAGAAAAAAGAAAGAAAAGAAAGAAGAAGAAGAAGAAGAAGAAAAAGAAGAAGAAGAACACGGCTGATTCGGATGGTTCGGCGCCGTTATCGCGGTTAAAAAGGAAAGAAATGCGAAATGACTTTTTGAACGTGTCCGAGTGAATAATAATTCTCACGGATGGAAGTGACTCGTCGTTTCGCGTTTTTTCTCTTCAATCGCGTCTCGCGATTCTTTTTCTTTTTTCTTTCTTTTCTCTTATCAACGTTGGCTTTGGCTAACGAGTAATTTCTTCAAGTAAGTTCAACAACAACGAAAGAAAAAAAGTTGACGAGAAGGGAAACGACGTGCCTGATCGTAATAGCTGGGTATAATAACAATAATAACAATAATAATAACTGTTCGGATCGTTCTTATCTTCTGGCTGCGTGAATTTTGCCGTGAGTCTCGCTAAAATGAAGAAGAAGAGGAGGAAGAAGAAGAAGTAGCAGTAGTAGAAGAATAAGAAAAAAAAAAAAGGAAAAAAAAGACGACAGAGAAGAAGGAAAATACTCGAATGCGACCAAACGTGTTCGTCCTCGTCCTCGTCCTCGTCCTCGTCGTCGTCGTCGTCGTTCCGTCGAGTTCTGATGGGATCGTCGGTTCGTCGTATGGATAGAAGGTATGCTTTTCCTCGGCCGATGAGTACGAATACTTTTGCAACGGCCGAAGCGATCGAGAAAATCCGTAATCATGTTTTTCACGTTGGCCTGTTTCATTTCCGGGAGGGGGTTAGTTCAAACGAGAAACGATCGGATCGTCCTTTTTTGGGTGGTGGTGGGGGGCGAAAAAAAAAAAAAAAAAGAAAAAAAAGAGAGAAAAAAGAAACAAGCACCGCTCGCAAATCAAAGGAATAAACAAGCGAATCGTAAAAAAAAAAAAAAAACTCTGTCTGCTGCTAAGTAACTAACTCTCTGCCAAGTCAACTCTTTACTCAAGCAAAAGCTCGCGGCGGCGGGGGAGGGGAAGAGAGACACACGGTTGCGCCGAGCAAAAGGATTTCTTTCTATCGTTTGTCACACGCGGCCCCCTACGATCTGCAAGCGATCTGTTGCGGTGGTGTTTCGCAAGTTTCGACACGAGTCATCTGCTTTCACTTCCACGCCCCGGGAAGTTTTCACGCGGGCGAAATTCAACGCGAGAGATCGATCAAGCGGGGCGATACACCCGAGGTTGCACGCAAGTGAACGAATGAATCGAATCTGCGTGCGTGAAACAGAGGGTGGGAGAGATTGAGTTCGGTTTCGCGGAGAAGCTACGCGGCGTAATAACAATAATAATAATAATAATAATAATAATAATAACAACAATCGCGAGTTTGAGAGCTTTCTTTCGGGGCGGTAACCGGTAATCCGCGCGACTTTCTTCTCTTCTCGAGAAGAAGAGAGGGAGGGTAGGGGAAGAAAAAGAAAAGAAAAGAAGAACGAAACTGAAGAATCGTAGGTGGTATATCTCGACAAGGCAACAAAGTATATATAGTGTGATCGAACAAAGTATCGTGGGAATGTATATATAATCGTGCGCATGCGAGTTTACCACACCATTCGTTTTTTCCATGCATCGCATGCGTTTCTCATGCGTTTATATATACGTACAGTTCAAGGTATCCCCGTCGTCGATTCAAAATGCGTAAACAAGTCATGCATAAACAACGTGCTTGGATATACAAAACTCGTTGTTGTTGTTGTTGTTTCTCTCCGACTGTTCTTTTTTTCTCTTTTTTAATCTTCTAAAAAAAAAATTTCACAATGACGCGACACGTCTCGAGATGTATCGTGATATCGTTACGAGTTTTGTAAATCCAACGTGACGTCGAAGATCTCGCCTCGTTTTCGACGAGGCTCTCAAGTGTCAGATCAGTCTACTTAGCGCAGAAGGATCTAGCTGAAGGGCCACAGATCTCGCTATAAAGTTTTAAGCTATCGTTTACTTCTACCTTTCGTTAGATACAGAGTGCTCGCCAAATTCATCATCCCCCGAGACATCGTCGTCGAGACATTTGGGCGAAAGGTAAGGTAACGTGAATTTCGCGGCATTCTGTAAAGCTTTTCTTATGCAGCTTCGTCGTTTTATGCAATACACGTACACATGTATATGTATGTAGTCGATCGTGCATCGTTTTTCAAACTGTTACGGAACAACGGCTATGTTTATGCTAGGAACGGGAGAAGAATAGAAGAAAGAGGTGATAGAGAGAACTTCCATGTGTGTGTGAGTGAGTGTGAGTGTGTGTGTACATGATTGGATAGAAACGAAGGACGAATCGTTGGAACAAGACAGAGAGAAAGACAAAGAGAGAAAAAGAAAGAAGGGATAATAGGCAGATAAATGTCACCAGCGTAGACGGAAATAGTATAGTTATGAAAGTAGG